AAAAAAAGAAGAATTTTGGGCTTCCACTGTCATCCAAGCCTTCTGCAAACCATGTGTTCATGATTTAAGCTCTGATGGTATTCCCTCCTTTAGATTTGGATTATATGCTTAACAATCCTTGGATCACATAGGCTGGTGTGCTTCTTTCATATATGAGGGGGTACCCCCCAAAAAACAATTATTTTTTTCCAAAGCTACATATTAATATATATATATTAGCAAACAATCTTATCACCTTCAAAGTACTCTCCATTACACCTAATACATTTATCAAATCAGTGATTCCATTCTTGGTGACATTTTTCAAACTCATCTGTTGGATGGCCGACAGCACCTCTTCATTTGAAGAAAGAAAGAAGTTGCACGGAGAGCGGTCAGGTGAGTAAGATGCATGGGGCAAGAGAGGTATGCTGGGTTTTGCCAAAAAATAGCACACCAAGATGGCTTCGTGAGCAAGTGCACTGTCATGGTGGCAAAACCAGTCCCCCATCTGTCTCAAATCAGGTCTTTCCCACCCCCCACCCCCCCTATGCCCGCACACTGTTATGCAATCTTTTAAGAACCTCTAAATAGAAAGCTTGATTAACAGTCTGATCTGGTGGAAAAAATTCCAAATGCACTGCAAGTTAACAAGTTGACGGACATCCAGAAGGAGGTTTGACATCAATCGACATTGCACCTTTTTTGAAATAAGAAAACCACTCATAAATTTGAGTTTTTCACATAGCACTGTCCTTATAAGCTGTCTTCAACATGACAACAATTTCTGAAGCATTTTTCCCAAGCAGGAAACTAAATTTCACAGCTGCACACTGTTCTCTTAAATCAGCCATCACAAAAAAACAAAGTTCGAGCAAAACTGCTTTTACGAAAAAATTCACTGTGACCAGAGAGAACCTTCCAGGCAACACCAGTGGGTGCACTAATTCAGAGTAAGTTGCTTAATGCTTGCCAAGTGGGAAAAATTCATACTATGAAAGCTGTGCTCCACCCAGCAGCATTCTGGGTTTTTTTTGGGGGGGGTACCCCCTCATAGACTTAGCTGCAGCATCTCTCCCTTTGAGATTAAAAATACTCAAAACAAACAAACAAAAACCTCACATGTTTACACAGATACATGTCACAACACACGTCTTGAACATTTATGGTGTGCAGGATGGGGGAGCTGTTCAAAGAATTTTACATAATTGAGCTCATTTTAATCTGTCCAGCAGTCCTAATGGAGAGGCACGCTATCATCCCCATCCTAAAGACAAGAAGACTGAGGAACAAAAAAATAAGTAATTTAGCCAAGATCATATCTCCAGTAAATAGTGGGTTTAACGCTCAGCAGCCCAGCTACACCCTGCAACACGTGCAGACTTCCCCACCCGTCCAGATGTGCACACCTACTCGCACGCAGAACAACACGTAATTAGGCACCGAAATACCTCATTACTTAGATGCTAATCATAGCTAACATGTACACAGCAATTTATGTACAAATCGCTTTCACACTAAACACAATGACCATTGAAGGAGGGATTGTTGTTATATACTTACCAGGTAATAATTAAGGCTACTGTGATGGGGCCATAGTGGCGTAGCAGGTAACGTTCAGCACTCAG